GAAGCAGAGAGCACTGGAGCCTGGCCAATCACCGTACAGCTTGACCTTGCCCATCCCTATGGGATTCACTCCTTAGACTGAGACTTGATTGCATCAGAATCTCTCAGGTAGAGCCTGTATCAGAAATTCTTAAAGGTCATCAGTTGATTCCAAAGAACAGCTAAGAAGCCTAGATTGAGAATGACAGTCACTTGTCTGGAGGACAGAGAACTTAAGAAACACACACACACACACACACACACACACACACACACACACACACATCTAGTTCTTAGAGCCCACAGTGAAGATTGTAGCTCTACTTCATCTGAACTCCTCTTAGCATGCTGTACCATCCACCTCCTTCTCTGCATTTTAATTTTAATTAGATTTGTACTTGTCATCTCTTCTGTCTGATTATAAATTCCTGGAGTTCCTGGAGGAAAAGATTTCATCTTCTACCCCCACCTCTCTAGCACCTAAGAGCACCTGGCAGTACAGATGCTCCACCAGCTGCTGGCTGTGTGAGCAAGGCAACAGGCCTCGGGAGGAGCTGGTCTTGCAGTAAATCCTACAAGGCTGTTTCCTGTACAGCCTCTGCTTTTCTTCTCTGACTCCTTTTCCTTTGCTCTGACTCTGGACATTCCTACCCATTTCCTGGCTCTCTAGCAAAGTGAGAAGAACCCAATTTCTCAGCGTTGGACTGTGGCAACCCTGCTGAGAAGCTGCCGCTTTAAATAAATGCATCTGGCCATTTCAGACTTACAGTATGGACCCGCCTCAATCCTTGATACAGCTTCAGATCAATTGAATGGGCTCGAGAGGGAATGCAAAGGCCCAGACTCCCACAGAGGCAGCTAATAAGCCAAAGAGAAAGGAGAAAGTCTAACTGAATGGGGAGCGACAGAGATCCTGGCCAAAGGAAGACACAATCGGTTTTGAATGGATTTGGACAGACAGTCCTGCCCGGACATTCCACCGGTGTCTAAGTACCAGCGGCAGACACAGAGAACGTGCGTTGTGCAGCAGGACCGCCGCGGGCTGTCAGGGCTGCCAGGGAACTGACTACCTGCAGCTCAGGCCACCGGTCCTAGCCCCTGACACTCCTCCTCCTCCACTGAGACCGCTCGGGCTCCTGAGTCACTATAATGCATCACTTCTTCCTCTCCATGGAGCATGTCTACTTCTACCCTAAGGACAGTTGTTTCTTGCACTTTTCATTTCCTATCCAGCAGAAAAAACAAGTGGAGATGCCACATTCAGGCCCATTGAGGCTCTGGGTCAGCAGGTGACTCAGGTAAAGCTTTCGGCTTTAAAGCCCCATGAAAACTAAAGAAACATCTTTGTTCCTCTCTCCCCCATTCCTGTAGCTTGTTAGCTACAGGCCCCTGAAGAAATACCCCTATTCCCACCCTCCTGCGTGACCGACAGGAGCATCTCTATGCAAAGGACGAAAATATGTTTGCTCTCCAATGCAAACTCCCTCCAATAGATTGATAATGCCTGCTAGGGGCATGGCCCTGCCCAGGCTCAGTGGGCAATCACAGTCGATTAGTGATGCCTGCCACATGCCTGTTAAGAAGACTTGTAGAGCGTCCGCCTTGTTTTTATCAACCTCTAGTAGAAGATCAAAGCTCCTCATTAAGGGGGAAGGAATTCCCCGCCCAGATCAAGCACTCGGTGGTGGTCGGTGGTCGACACAGGTTGCCAAGGTAGGTAGTGTAGCTTGGGTGGGAGGTGGAAGCAGAGATAGTTCTCTTCCATCGGATGGGTGTTTTCTCTGTTTCCTTAGTAACCGAGGAAATGAGATAACCCTCTTAGTTGGGGGGCATCCTGCATCTCAGAGGACAAAGACAGGGAAGAGGAAAAAGATAAGGCATGGGTGGCTCTGGGAAAATGAGCAAAGGGAATGCTCCGGACTGCCCAATCTGAAAGAAGCCAGAGAAGAACAAGGGCCAAAGCACCAGCGAGAAATAACGGGCATCACCACATCCTTTTGCATAGACATCCTTGGCGTCTTAGGCTGGATGGGAGTGGATGAGGATTCAGGAAATTGTGAGAATTTTGTAGTTTCTGTCATCTCTCCTCTGTCATAAACTTGTCAGTGAGGAAGGGTCGTATTGCAAAGAAGGAAATAGAAATAAATGGGTATTTTATCTGTGTTGTTGTTGAGGGTAGGATATAGTATTTTTAACTCGTTTTCCTTTTTTATGCAAATCATCCAGAAAAACATAGAGTAATTGCTGAAGAAAGCCTTGTTATGTAAAAGTCCAACCAAAAAAAAAAACTTTGGAGTCACAGTGAACCATAAATTGGCCTCGCATTTGCAAAGCAGATTCTGTTTTGCTTGTTGGTTGGCTTGCTCTTGGCTTTTTTTAAAAACAAAAACAATAGCAAGACGGCTGAATTGCAGTTAAGTCTGATGCTATCTAATAACGTTGGACCTATTCCTACAACCTCCCTGCTTGTCCATGTCTGAGTAAAAATGAAAGTGTGTTACCTAGGGTAGGGAGAAAGGCATGCATTCCCATTGTCACATCAGCAGATTAGCAAGACTCCAAGAGCAGGCGTGAAGGAGCAGACACCCGATGTCCACATTTCAGTTGGGGTGGGGGTGGGGACAAGGCGGGTAGTGAAGAGAGTCAGAATGGTCCCGACTGGTAGGAGTCGGGCACCTCAGGGTGGGCTCTTCTGAAAACAGGGGACAACAAGGGGGCAATGGGTGGTAGGCTAGATGAGGAAGGGGCAAGACTGACCAAAAGTTCTGAAAGGGGAAATCGAGACATGCCAGTCAGGTGGCTCCTAGGTCTCCATCTTATTTGGAACCAACCAACAGCCCAGTTCCTCAGCTTGTCTCTGCCACATTCCCCTGTAATCATTGCTATTGAAAGTAAGCACTCTTGGGGTGGTTTGTTAAAAAGATGTTGACTTGTTGTGTCTTTATCAGAGATACTTTCCTTATTAATTATATGTATATACACACGCATACACACACATATATGTGTGTACAGACACACACACACACACACACACACACACACACACACACATGATATTTAACCCAATAAGATCCTATAGAAAGATCTCTTTGAGTAGTTAAATGTTCAACCTGGGGCTTATGGGCTTCGACAGACTCCTGGGAATTCCGATGAGAGTTTGCTGAGAATTTTCATAAGGTTTTGCCAGGATTTTGTTTTCCTTCCATCAGGCATTTTCTAACTTGTGAATGGAAAAATTCTTAGCTTCTGTATTTAGAAATTTAATACCAAAAAAAAAAAAGGCCTTTCACATGTGAAAGACAGAAAACACACACACACACACACACACAGAAAACCACCCTCAAGAGGCATCTAAGCTCTTTGGTCCATCAGTCAGACAGTAGGGTTTGTTGACTATGAGACTTTCTCTCACCCACACTGAGCAAGGCACACACAGAGGAGCTGAAGGCTTGGCCCCTGAGCGTGACAAGCAAATTTCCTTCATTCAGCACAAATGCACTGAGCGCTCCATCTAAGCAAGGCATTGCACTGTGCTTTTTAGAGGAAAAAAAAAAAGTTCTGTTGGGCAAAGCCTCTATTTTTAAAAATATACACAAATAACTCCGGGAACTGGAAGAACATGGTAGGAGGTATAGGAGAGGTTGAGAGAAAGTGCTTGGAACTAAGAGTTAAGGAGAGGATGGGCATCTAGCTGAGGTAACCAAAAGAGACTGCGTGGAGGAGATGGTAGTTGAGGTAAGTACGGAAGAAGTGGCTCCTTGGAGTAGGCTTCACTCAGAAACAGGGCAGAAAGGTGAGGTGGTGAATAACATGAGCTCTGGATGCCTGGGTTTCAACACAGGCTCTACTGCCGACCAATGAACTCTGTGAGACCCTTGAATAAGTTTACTTATGTTTCTGAGCCTCAGTTTTTCTCAGTAATATCTACCTACCTCTTAGGGATAGTTGAAAAGATTAAATCAGCTAACTAATGAAAACTAAAGTAAAAAAATGAAAAACAAGGTAATTGATGAAACAAATGAAAAACTCTTGGTATAGAAGGTACTCAAGAAATGATACCCCATAATTTGTTTTTTTTAAAGATGGGGTTTGTGAGGACTGTAAAGGATGGTGGATGGGAAGTCTTGACCGGACAGTGGGGGCATGCTGGGTCCGAGGTATGGAATGAGATCTGTTGCCAAAAGTTCCATGCTGAATGAGATGACTCAGAAGGACCATCTCACAGCATCCGAGTCAGATGGAGCTAAGCCATTGTCACGACATGCGGAGCCTCTCACAGGATAAACGAAAAGGTCCTTTGGCCTTTTTAAAATTTTTTAAGTGCTCTATTCGAAGTTAAGATTTGGAGAACTGAATGTGCATGTATAAGAGCAATGAACACTATAGAATGAGACTGGGAATACACACCATAAGACTGTCATTTGGTGAATTCCTTCAGGAAATGCACTAGTAGCCTGTGCCAAATTGGAGCCCAAGGCAAAAGGGAAAAATCAGTATCGCTGATTCTGTCTTTGTTTAAATTTTGATATTTTGTTCATCATGAGTTTTTTTATATTAATTTTGATTTTTTTAAATATTGCATTAAAATTGTTTATCTTGATTACTGAGCTTCATGGCCCCCCTTTAAATTTTGCACCACCCTAGAACCAGTCCCAGTGGTCACCAGAGACAGCCCATCACTGATGGTGGCTCATCAGAAACCCAAATTCCATCATCCTTGTAGAAATGTCCATGCTACCAAGAGCCCAAAAGAAAACTTCAATAATTAATTAGACTTTCCAGACCCTTAATAATAACCCCGGCCTGCCCACGGACAGAGAGTTTATAACTGAGGTTACGTAGAGTTTAACGTAATCTCAGTTATCCTCACAGTAACTTGGAGAAGGAGTGATATCTCACTTTGCTGGTAAACTATGAGACTTTTCCTTGGTAGGAAACTAATCTTTTCAAGACGATTTTGAGCAGGGCCACTGTAGAGCTAATCTATGACTCAGTGTCTAACACAAGAGTCAGACCACATACCTTTAAATCCTGGGTCTGCTGTTTCCTGGAGGGCTGTGTGACCTGGAGCAAATTACTGAAATCTTACCTGCAAAATAGAAATAAGAATAATTGATTTGTTATGAGGATTAAATAAGGTTATCTATGTAAAGCATGGAATAAATGTTAACTATTGTTATTGCATATGTAGTACAGACTTGGAAATCTTCACGGAGAGAAATAAGATGCCACAGCAGGCTTTTGGGATAAACTTTTGGTAGGGGGCACCTTTCAGTGGCCATCAAATCACCCTCAGAAGAGACTTTACCAGAAACCATTATCAGAAAAATTATCTGAATCCTAGAAATAGACAAAAGAGATTACTGAGTGTTCTCAGTGCAGTGCTGGTCTTGACTTTCTACTTCCTGGGCTGGTTTACAACTCTGTAAGTGCAGAGGTAGACTTGTAGAATTTTGTCTGACAGAGATGCAAATAATTTAAGTCTGGGGGAGCAGATAACCCATAGATTGCTGTGTATGTCCCTGTCGGACTTGAACCCAGCAATCTATTAAATTGCATATATATGCACAATTATATATAGTATAATATATAATTATATATAACATATAATTACATTATATATAATTATATTATTTTTCACATTATATGTAATTTTTATATTT